CGAAGCCCTCAAATAGCCATTAATTGGTCACTCAAAGACCTCACTTTGTCCCAGGACTCATGGGCCTCCCACCACCTCCATCATCGGTGGTAAAATTGTGGCAAGGCAGGCATAGCTGGGTGGGTAGGTGGCAGGCTTGTGCCCATGGTGCTCAGCTTTACTAAGCCCTTGCTTGCCGACATATTGGACAGTGGTGTAAAATTAAACCTGCGCTGAGCCGAAGTTTGGTCACATTATTATTTTGACACTTATAATTTAAACTCCCTATCTAAACACTTCTAATTGAAATTTCTCATGAAAACTCTTACTTGTGGTTGTGGCTGCAGGCGTCCAGCATTGATGGTGTTATGACACATTCTCACTTGCATCTTCCACACTTGCCCACTTCAATCCTTTGCCCATTCTGTGGTCAGTAGAATATTTGTCTTTTCACCAATGTGGTTTCTTACAATCCTTAGAATTTCCTCTTTGATTCAGTACAGAGATACATTTCTCCATCATAATCTATGGCAAAATAGAGCAGGGAGTTGAAGCAGTTAAGCACAAAAGCGTTGCATTAGATTTTGTACCAAATTTGTCATGGAGTCGCCTTGAACAATTTGAACCTTCTCCATGATGATAGTGATGCATCAAGAACAGCAAGTCTGATATTCAACTTCTTTTGTACATTTATCAATTGTTTGTACCGCTGATTTTATGATGTTAAGATTTTTGTCCGGTGTAATTGACATTACAAACGAATAGTTGCTGAAGTATTAAGCTAAGCATCAGATGAAACGATGAATCCGAGCAGGTTGAATTGTTCAGGCACCAAGTTTTGAAGGTAACATTTAGGGGAGTACAAGTGACGTGAATTCTTGATACATGTCATGATTTAGAATAAAGTACTAAATTGGAGTGAAACAAGTAGATTAAATGGTGATATAAACAAAATGAAATAATACCTGATTAAATTAGAATTTCATACTATTGAAACCATTTTGACAATAATATCATTGCTCCATAAATAATGCTTTTTCAAATACAAAGGGATGGCAGAGAACATTTCAGCAGCACTTTTCAAGGAGCCATTGTCTTCAGCATCCTTCCACCAAAGTATGACAAACTTACTTAATAAGATTGGCTATCACCCTTCAGAGATACTTCCATAGGTGGGCAGTAATAGCTTCAGTTCTACCAAAGGTGCAACCATATAGTTAAATCACACATATCTGTGGTGTCTTAAGTGAAGATATTTATTTCTTAAACTTCATGCCAACTTTTGAATTTCCACTATCCTCAATTAATGTAGAAAGGTTAGGAATCTGCTTTTATGTAGCTTTGGGAGCACAGTTTCAATATTAAGTACCCCAAAGTCTAATTCGATGGTGGAGAGCAATGATAACTTTGGAATGCCACCCTTAAACCAGATGTTCTTATGTATCCCATAGTTTGGTCAGGGTTTCTGCAATCAGCCAGGTGAGGTTTTATTGTGCTTGTTGTACATCAAGTGACCATATCAGCCATGTCCAGCCGATATTCCTTTGAGGCTTGTCTATACATTCTTGGGAAGATTGAAGTTTAGTTGTTAAGATGTTGGGTTGGAGATGGTGCGTTTATTTGCGAGGATATTTTCTTTCCAAGCTTTTCTCCATAATGCTCGTGAAATCCGGAGTTAGAGATGTTCAATTCATGCCCAGAAAGGGTTTCATAGACCATAAGACCATAACAAGAAATAGGAGTAGGAGTAAGTGATTGGGTCCCCCAAGCCTACTCTGCATTCAGTAGGAACGTGGCTCATCTGACATTACTCACTTTCATTTTCCCGCCTTTTCCCCAAAACCTTGATCAAGGATGTCTACCTCAACCTTAAATATACACAAGGACCCTGCCTCCATAGCTGTTTGTGACAAGGAGTTCAAGACTCACTACCTTCTGAGAGAAGAAATTCCTTCTTATCTCAAACTTAAATTGGCAGCCCACTATTCTGAGATTATGCTGTCTGGTCTTAGATACTCCCATGAGGGGAAGCATCCTCTCAGCATTTACCCTGTCAAAACCTTGAGAGGATTCCTGTATGTTTCAATGAGATCACCTCTCATTCTTCTAAACTCCAGTGAGTAGAGTCTCAACCTGTTTAGCCTTTGCTCATAATACAATTTATCCAAACCAGGGATCATCCCAGTGAATATCTCTGTACTGCTTCCAATGAAACAATATCTTTCCTTAAATAAGACGACCAAAACTGGTGTCCCTACTCCAGACGTGGTCTCAGCAACACCTTGTATGTTGTAGTGTGACTTCCCTACTGTTATACTCCACCCCTCTCGAAATAAGGGTCACCATTCCATTACCTTTCCTGATTACCTTTCCTGATTACCTGTGTTTCATGCACAAGTATGCCCAAGTCCCTTTTGAGTTGCAGCCTTCTGCAATTTTTCTTCATTTAAATAATACTGTTCTTTTGTTCTCCTTTCCAAAATGAACAACTTCACATTTTCCCACATTATACTGCATTTGCTAACTTTTTGCCAACTTACTTAATCCATCAATATCTTTCTGTAATCTGTTTGTATCCTCTTTGAAACTTGCCTTTTCACCTACTTCTGTGCTGTCTGCAGATCTGGCGACAGTACATTCACTTCCTAACTTCAAGACATTAAAATAAGTTGTGAACATGGATTGCCGTAGTAAAAGAAAGCAGCTTACTCAAGGACGAATAGGGATAGGCAATAAATGCTGGCCAGCTAGCGACACCCATATCCCACAAGTGAATAAAAAAAAGTTATGATTCCAGCAGTGATCCCTGTGGAACTCCACTGGTTGCAGGTTGCCAAACTGGAAAAAACTCCTTGTCTCCACTTGCTGTTTCCTGCCCATTAGTCAATTCTCTATCTACACCAATGTACTTCCTCCAACACCGTGGCCTCTTACCTTATGACTTTTGTGAGGTACTTTGTTGAACGCCTTCTGGAAGTCCAAATTCAACACACCTACTAGTTCCTCTCTATCCACTCTGATTGAGACTTCCTCGGAAAACTGTAGTCAGACACGATTTCCCTTTTATGGAGCCATGCTGACTCTGCTTGATTAGAATATGATTTTCCATGTTTTAAGATCTTTGTGACTGATGAGTTGAAAGTGGTTGTTAATAAGTTACTTCTCTGCATGTTGCTCCTTTAAATGGAAAGGGTGATATTTGAGGAGTTGACTAACCGTTAAACTGGGGTTGATATAAGAGTTCCAAAAATTTTCCTAATGAGTTTGGCGTGATGACTTGAGGCCTGTTCAGATGCACACTGCTCTGCTATCAAGAGGACTAGAGCTGTGACTGAAATACAAATGGTGTTTTTTTTGTTTTTTTTTGCAGCCCAGCTTGTTCCAGCAAGCATGCAACTGATAGGAATATTAGCACAGTGTCTCCTCTGTGCAGTTTGACATAACTGAGTGGCATGCTAGGCAATTTCAGAGGGTGATCTTATCAACGTGCAGGGGTTAGTGAGCATTGATTAGAAACTGAACTGGATCAATCACATAAATACTGTGGTTACAAGAACTGGTTGGAAGCTGGGAATTCTACAACGAGTAACTCATTCCTGACCCCCCCAAAATGTGTCCACGATCTACAAGACACAAATCAGGAGTGTGATGGACTGCTATGCACTTGCGTGGATGACTGCAGCTCCAACAACACAGAATAAGTTTGATTCTGTCTAGGACCAAGCAGTCTTCCTGATTGGCATCCCATTCAGCATCTTTAATATTCACTCCCTTCACCCCTAACGCACAGTGGCAACTGTATTTACTATATACAAGGTGCACTGCTGCAACTCACCCAGCCTCCTCTGACAGAAACCTTTCAAAATTGCAACCTCTACCACCTTGAAGATCAAGGGCAGCAGACCCATGGAAACACCGCCATCTGGAAATTCCCCCCCCAAAGCCACACATCATCTTGACTTGGCACTACATTGGCATTCCTTCATTGTCATTGGATCAAATTCCTGGAGTTTCCTTCCTAAAACCACTGTGGGATCTCTACAGTCCAAGGACTGCGGTTGTAGAAGGGAACATGCCATCACTTTCTCAAGTTCGGCTATGGTTAGACAATAAATGCTTACCTAGCCAGCAATGCCCATATCCCATGAGCAAGTCAACCATATTGTGCTGGGTCTGGAGTTACGCATAAGGCGTAGAGAGTAGAGACAAAAACTTTCTGGACATTATTGAACTGGATGTGCATTTACAAGAATCCAGTAATTTCACAGTCACTTTCAGAATCATAGAATCCCTACGGTGTGGAAGGAGGCCATTTGGCCTATCACACCTGCACAGATCTGCTGAAGAGCATCCCACTCAGACCCAGCCCCCTACTGTATCCCATAACCCCATGTCTATCCTGGCTAATCTACCAAGCCTACAAATCCGTGAACACTACCGACAATTTCATCATGGCCAATCCACCTAACCTGCACATTTTGGACTGTGGGAGAAAACCAGAGCACCTGACAGAAACTCACGCAGACACTGGGAGAACGTCCAAGCTCCACACAGACAGTTGCCTGAGGCTGGAATCGAACCTGAGTACCTGGCGCTGTGAGGCAGCATTACTAACCACTGAAACTGTGTTTTCTTTCAGATTTACAATTTCATTGAATTTAAATTCCACTAGCTGCTGTGGGGTAATTTAAACATTTGTCTCCAGAGCATTGATCCCAATCTCTGGATTACTGGCCTAATATGTTACCTCTAAGATACATTTGACTTGGAGCTACACTGAAATTCCTTCACTTTCACGAGGCAAAAACCTGGAACTCCCTTAAATGTGGATGCCGTCTACATCACATAGACTGCAGCAGTTAAGTGGAGAGCTAAACACCATTTTCTCTGGGGCAGTTAGGGATGTGCCTTTGCCAGTGATGGCCACATCACCATGAAAGAATTTTTTAGAAGTGCCTATTGTGATCTATACATCCAGTAACCAGAGGTTGAAATATTAGTATCTCCATCTCTGCTTTCAGGTTCTTCAACAGCTTTTGAACCACTGTAGAAGGAGCCAGGAAAAAGTTCTCCTCTTCTCTCTCTCAACCAAGGTGGGTAACCATACTGAAATATGATTTTCTGATGTTCTAAATCAGATTATTTTTCACAACTGTACAGAATAAAATTTGAGATCACTGGTTGGAATTCATATAGAAGTGTTCCATTTTTTTTAGAAAGGTAGAATACTCCAGATGCTGGAAATCTGAAATAAAAACAGGAAATGCTAAAAATATTTAGTAGGGCAAATAAAATCTGTAGAGAGAGAAAGAAGAGTTTGTGTTTCAGTTTGATGACATTTCGTGAAACCATTCTGATGAAAAGTCAATCCTCTCAAATATTAACCCCTGAGGGGTCCAACATGGTGTCCATAACACCATCTTCAACATTCACTCCCTTCACCTCTAATGCACAGTGGCAGCAGTGTGTGCCATCTACTAGATACACTGCAGTTGCTTACCAAGGTATATTCAATAGCACCTTCTGGACATGCAAGCTCTGTTGCTCAGGTGGCAAGGGAACCAGATGTACGGAAACACCATCACCTGCAAGTTCCCCTTCAAGTCTCACACCTTCATAACTCGGAAATATATCATTGTTTCTTTACTATCACTATTTCTGGAATTCCCTTCCTAACCCACAGTGGACTGCAACGGTTTGTTGTGCTACCTTCTAATATTTGTTGGGAACAACATGACAGTGTGGCCTGATTACTTTGTTTCAAAGATTTCAAAGCTTCTACAAAATAAGTCACTCCAAGATAAGGGTGCACTAGAATACATTTTCCTTGAAATTGACAATGACTGAGTATGAGTAGAGCTCACACACAGCAGGACAAACTGCAAGAAGAGGAAGCAGAAGGATGTTCATTCAGCAGCTATATCTGTTCTTGATGAGTTCTTCTACCAGGAAGGAAGAATGTGAGGCATTTGTGCTTCATAGTGTCATCACTGAATCTGCTTTCTGCTTGAATCTGCTTTCTGCTACAGTCATCATTCTCAGCAGGACAAGAACAGCATTGCCAGTTGTTGTAAAGGTGAACATGGATGTGAACTTCTATGCATCTTGCTCCTTCAAGCTGATGCTGGAGAGATTTGTAACATCTTGCAAAAAGGCAGACACACAGGTTCTCTATTCAAAAATGCTTGATTTATATAGCACCTTTCACAAACTCCAATGTTCTTTGGTAATTTGCAGTTAATGATGTGCTTTGAATGTGTTGTAATTGTGGTTCAGGATGCAGCAGCTAAGTTGTGAACAGCAAACTCTCGAAACAGCGTTTTTTCTTGGGCAGTCCTCTTTACCCAAGGATGACTTTCTTCCATTCCAGTGTTGTAGATGTCAATGACCAAATAGCCCTGTCACAGTTAAGGCAGGTGGTGTTTGCTGAAGCGGGTAGGTGGTATGGTGGGCTTTCAAATGCTCCTTCTGCTTTTTGCACTGGGCTCCCATCTGAGACTGTCGTAGGCACTTGTAACAATTGGCATCTTCATAGTTGTTTCTTTCCAGTTTGGGCTGGAAATTCCCACAAGTCAGTGAGGAATTGCATTTGTAGGGTTTGAAGATTCCTGAAAGTTTACACTGGATGAGAGCTGAAAGTTCAAATTCTCTTCGAGACACAAAGGTAAAGAGCAGCTTGGGGTCACCTATCTTCAATTTATCATAAATGTGGTTCTTCTAAAATTTAGAGCTGATCTAAGCCCTACTGAATATAATTGCATCCAGCACTAAAAGCTTGACTACAGTTTCCTAAACTCAGATTTACTGGTGTCGATTTGATTCCGTTAGGTAAACAATGAGCTTGTACCGAGCATAAGGTACATTCTGATCCCATGTTAGAAATTTATAGTCTCCATCATCATTGACACTGGAGATTATTCTAGTCCTGAAACTCTGTCATAGGTCACATAATATCCTAAGTGTCATTCAAAAGGGGCTGCAGACTGACCATTGTCTTCTGCATCCCTGTATTACTTTCAAACAAGATTGCTTTGAAGTGTCTTCCTTCCCTGCATAATCTTTATTTTTGTATGCCTGTGTGCAAGATTTGACTATGATTTGTAAATTGAAAATTCTAGAATCTAGTACTCATTGGTGACAAAAACAGACTGCTGTGACCTGAATAATTTTTTTTTTGCCTATGCAAAATCGAGTCCATTGGCATTTTCAGACTGCAGTGCTAAATTCATCCTGGCCAAGTGTTGTAGAAGTTACTGGGAGGAGTTCTGGCAATACTTCCCACTGGTGCTCTATCCAGCTCTCCCCTTTAACATGCTTCCTCAGGTTCACAAGCTGCTGAAATTCTTTCACTCCCACAACAGTGAGCTTGCTTGTTCCTTTATTTGATATGTGGACGACATGGTTTTGTGTTTTTACTGACTGCTCTGTCCAAAACTGAGGCTCAGGTTTCTTTACTAGCAAGTTTTGGAACTCGGGTTGCATCAATTAACATTTCTTCTGAAAATATGAGTGATGTCCTACAGAATTGTTTGTGAATAAGGCTTCAAGTTTGGTAGTCAGCATTAAGTGATTATACCCCAAATTTCTCTTGTGCACTGTTTCGTCCCAATCACACTCTTTTAGACTATTATGTTATTTCTATCTTCAATTTTATGTTGGTGTTGGAGCTCCATATTTAGATAACCACTGGTAATAAGCATGCATGATGTATCCAGTCTTGTATCTAACCCATTCCTTCTGTTGCACTAGTTATTTTCTGCATCAGGGATTACGTACTATGATTGGACCCTTGCCTGCTGCCATCAGTCTCACAACCATAGCATGGTTCATGTGCATCTTGTCTACGTGTCTGCTTACCAGCACTAATTCATGTCCTTTTCTTTATCAATGGATGTGGATGACTCTGGCAAAATCAACCTTCATTACCCATACTTAACTACACTGAGCCAACTTCTTGAACACTTGTAGTCTGTGTGGAAAGTTCTTGCTACAATATTATTAGGCAGAAAATTCCAGGCTTTTGACACAGCCCCAACTAAGGAACTTTAATAGGTTTCCTTGTCAAAATGGTGTGCAACTTGCAGATAGGGGTGTGCCTGTGTATCTTCTATTCCTGATTTTATAAGTGGTAGACATTGCAAATTGGAAGTTGTTTGTTTAGCAAGCTTCCTGACAAGTGCTATCCCTGAGCTGGCCAAAAGCTAATTCTATTTTTAGCTAATGCATGCTTAATAAATACTATTCCTTGATTGCCTCGTGCAAAGAGAATATTTGATTTGATTATTATCACGTGTACTGAGATGCAGCACCTGTGAAGAGAAATCAAAGTTAACATTTCAGATCTGGCGACCCAAAACGTTAACTCTGATTTCTCTTCACAGATGCTGCAAACCTGCTGAGCTTTTCCAGCAATTTCTGTTTTTGTCTCTGATTTACAGAATCTGCAGTTCTTTTGGTTTTTATCTTGAATCTATTGTTGCACGTTTTCAAACTTTTGTATCTTCTACCCAATGGCAATAACCTCTAACAATAGGAAAAGGTTACTTGCCTTTCAAAACAATCCTGAGTCTTAGATCACTTTCTTTGAGCCAAAATGCTCTGGGGCACTGAAGCCTGTTTCGTTCCTGACCCTCATATTTAAAACAAAATCAATGCATCTGGCAACTAAGTGTACATACAGTAAATTTACAATACCTTTTTCCAATTTTTAGCCCCATGAATTAATGAAAATATATGCTAACAAGATGAATTCTAACACCCCACACCATTATGTAAAAGTACTACTGTTCATCTGTCAAGTGAAGTGCTATTACTGATATGGTGGGTTTATTTTGTTTACTCATGGGGTATGGGCATCACTGAATGGGCCAGCATTTACTACCCATGCCTAGTTGCCCTTGAGGAGATGGTGGTGAGCTGCCTTCTTGATCCACTGCAGCTTGTGCTGTCTTTATACCCACAAAGCCATCAGGGAGGGAGTCCAAGATTTTGACCCAGCAACACTGAAGGAATAGCAATGTATTTCTAAGTCAGGATGGCAAGTGGCTTGGGGGATCTTGCAGATGGTGGAGTTTCCATGTATCAGCTACCTAGTCCTTCAAGATGTTAGTGATCATGGCTTTGGAAAGTGCTGGCTATGGAGCCTTAGTGAGATACAAACACACACACACACACACACACACACACACACACACACACACACACA